AAACAATATGTTGATTCTTCAAAAACACGTGAATCTTGCAAAGCAGACGCAAACGTTGAAATCTCCGGACCACCACCAGAAGAACTGTGGAACCCGATTGTAATGAAAGTTGTGACGGGAGTTATTGTACGGAATTCGATCATTTGGCAAGTGAAGAAAGTCAATCTGACCAGGAGGCGAGCACTGAAGAAATATCAAAGCAAAATAAAGACCGCGTTCTCTTGTCCCGCGAAAAGTCTATTGAGAATCAGCTAAAATTTATCATTTGCGAAGAGTCGATAGCACATATCTTTGGGATTTGCCAAAAATGTGGAAGCAGCTGCTCAGTTTCAATAGGAAACAGGATTGGAAGTTACTGCATGATCTATATATCGTGTTCATCAAACCAAAACCATGATATTTCTTGGTCAACTGGCCCTCTTATAAATCGGCTTCCTGCTATGAACTTGCTCATAACTTCAACAGTTTTAAGCACAGGGATGGAGTCGAATAAAACGTTAAGGTTCATGGAATCGTTAAACATTCTCTGTATTAAAAGAAGGGAAATGTCAAACCTTCAAAGTACATATGCAATACCAGCAATATTTAACATGTGGAGATTAGAGCAATAAAGTTTGATCAATGGAATCAGAGACAAACCAGTTATTATAGCTTCTGACATGCGTGTGGACAGCCCTGGACACAGTGGTCTTCTTGGTTCTGGTAGCACACTTGACGTAGAGCAAAACGTTATTTTAGATACTCAAGTTATAAAGGTAATTGGAGGGTTCAGATACAATGTTTAATTGTGCTATCGCACTATGCACGTGATTAATTCGGTTAAAGATAACGATATAGCAATCATAGCAATGATATTATTACTAATTACACAAATGATGATATAGCAATTTATCAAATCAATTAAATTTCAGAGTACTGAAGTTAAAACTCCAATGGAATGGAATTAGAGTCCCTGAAGAGGCAACTTTCGTACCTTGAGAATGCAAACGTAGAAGTTAAAAAACTCGTGACAGACAGACACGTGCAAGTATCTGCGTATATGGCAAGTGAAAAGTCAAGTATAGAGCACAATTACGATGTGTGGCATGTTGCAAAGGGTAAGAAGCCTAGTTGTCAAGTATTTATAATACGTAAATTGTGAAGATCCATGGTAAATATTTAAGAATACAACATTCTTAGTAAGAATAACTATATTATTTGTGTAATATAGGTGTGAAGAAAAAGCTTTTGAAAGCCTCAAAGACAAAGAAATTTAAAGAAATAAAGCTATGGATTGGGGTAGGCAAATAAGATCAGCATAAATAAATTGTCAAGTATGATCTAAAACGACAGCTATAATGTTACATATATAGTTCCCAAATGCCTCTCTAATAAATGCTTTTGATATAAGCACTTCTCCTTTTCAATGAAAACGCTTGACAGGTTTAAATCTACCTTTCTCATTTGTTTTGCAATTGAGTTTTATTGTAATAAGATTGACAACCCTCCCTCTCTAACAAACACCTCAAAAAGAATTGGCAATAAAAATTCACTTAACTATTTTCAGTCAATCGTTAACCACGTTTACTGGGTGGCAATTTCAACCACAAACGAAAAAGAGAGGGAAGAAAAATGGAGAAGCCTTTTAAATCACATCATGGACGTGCATGTTCATGAAGAAAACAAGATCTTCCAGAGATGTACCCATGGAGAATTAGATAGAGCATGGATTAAAGCAGGTTACATAGTTTTCCACACATCTTGAATATAAAAACTTTTTCGAAAGTTTAAAATATAATTTATTTTATACAGGGTCAGCTGCACACAAGAAACTTAAAGAAATCCTTACAAAACCTCGACTAATTTCCGCCATTCGGAAACTATCAAATCTTCACCAGACTTCATCCCTCGAGTCAAAGCATTCTTTAGATAATCAGTTCGCCTCAAAGAATGTCTACTATCCATACCATTCACTTATGGCCAGGTAAGTACAAGTCACATTTTAGAATTCTATTTCAAATTTGCAATGCAGGTAAAAACCCTCACCCAAATTTGACTCCATGTTTCTTGTTCACCTGCATATTTGAGAACTAAGTTAAATCAAATCCAATTTAGTTAATTAGTTTTTCGTTATGTGTTTCCACTTGCCAAAGAAATTTCCTTCCAGATTATTAAAAAATTCCTTTAGTTAATTAGTCCACAAAATGTCCTTTAGGTGGAAACATTTTAAATATCCTTTAAGCTGTCTCGTCCCCAGTCGCTTTATTGAATTTAGGGTTTATTGAATTCAGGGGGGGAGTTGAATTGATGCACTGATCTATATATGCCACTGATAAGTTATGTTATAATGGCCTGCGGAGGAGGCAGTCCTTTAAGTGGAAACAACAAAAAGTTTATGGTCAGGAATTTCGGCAGCCAAAAGCTAGGTATGGTCGGGAAACCGGAAACCAACAATTTTTTTTGGCCTTATTATAAGTCAGGTAATTGCAGGAGTGCCAGTTGGCAATCAAAGAATAAGAAAATGTTTAGAAGAAAAGCAAAAGTCAAATTTTGAATACTAATAGCTTCAAACCTGTTTTAGACTGTTTTGTGCTAACATGCACTTCAATGAAAATTCCAAGAAGCAAGCTAAAACAAAAAAAGAATCAGATCGTTGGGTAATAATTTATCCAAAAGCACACAAGGGGAAAAGGCTATTGCTAAGAAGATAAAAGAGGCCCCAACTTTCAGTGAGTTGATTAAACAAATTAACTATATTAATTAATGATTAGATTAAATTATACAAACTACAAATAAATATGATGCATAATCACAAATTACAAGTTTACTCCACACAAGTACAGTTTATAGTGTTTTGTAAACACAAAAAGGTTATTTAAGCATTCAAAAATGTCCAGTCATGCAGTCATGATATGCAAACTCTACCCTTATTTAACTTATTTTTTTATTATGACCATTCCAGCCAATATAAACAATATTAACAATCATGTGGCTTTACAACTTAGAGTATTTTGCTTTAGTCAGTAAAAAAAACATAACAAGGTTTACAATAAAATTCTCCATTTTTAGGTTATGTAAAACGCCATCAGTCTGAAAGCTTAAAGCTACGGCAGAAGTTTCCAACACTAAAAAAGGCACGCCTAAATGCGATTGATGTCCTACCTAAAGAACCACCCTCCCTTGTGGATCAGTATAAAAAAAACAACCCACCAGAAAGTAAAAATTCTATCATTGCCAAGCGATTCAGCAGGTTTACTAAACCAGCCTATCCTGTGGAAGATAATGATATATGTGAATGTTCAGGAAAATGTGCAACAAAAAGATGTGGTTGCAAAGCAAGCAAGAGATTGTGCTCTTCAAGTTGTAGTTGTACGAGGGACAAATGTTTAAACAAATAGACTTAAAATCAATTGGCTGAAGCAATGAAGAACAATTAAATTCTGGAACTTCCTTAAATTTTCATTAGCGAATCATTTTGAGAACCTAAAATGCGTGTATAAACCATCTGGAGACGGAAACTCCTTCCTGATACAAGTATACACACATGAAGGGAAAACTCGCCGATTTTTTTTCCCTAAAATACCAAAAATCCACCTTGAGCATCTTCTGTACGATGCAAGTCTGTATAATTTGTGCGTTTGTTCGAGTTCCTCGTCTCCCAATGGCCAATTTTCCTCCATATACTGCGACACGTCAACATACAGTACATCCCTGGACAACATATTTTGTTGAAAAGCCGATGAATCTGTTATGCACATAAATTCTTGAATTTCTACCTTTTTTAATATATCGTCATACTCGTCGTATTCCAGAGACTTCTCATAGCAACAAAAAGACTCAATTGTTTTTTCCATGAGTGAGCATTTTCCGCATTTACACCAGGAAAGTGTTGTAAGGCGCCACGCATTCGCTCTTTCAAATTCATCATTATACTCATCCTCTTCACTATAAGTATCTTCACTAGAATCTCCGCTGCTATCTCCCTCGTCACCTTTATTAGGTTCAAACATATATGGCTCAATAACAGGCTCGTTCTGTACAAAATCGTCGAATACATCTTCCTCGCTTTCTGTACAAACAGTCGCCATCTTGAAATTGTTGCCCTGTTGTGACGTCATGCGTGTTTTCTTTTAATGATTTGAAATTTTATTAAAGATGGCTGCCGAATGCTCAAAATTAATGTTTTTAAATGCGGGATAACAAGAGCGTAATATACAGTTGAGTTGTTATTAAACTTTTTATTCTTTATTTAATATCTATTATTTTATTTAGTGAAGAAAAAAAATATGTTGCCATTTCCCTTTAAGAGAATTAAAAATTAAACTGATTGGTTTTATTTTCATATTCGGGTGAGTAAATGTTATTACTGTCTGTTACACATTTAAAATCGAACATGATTTGGGATGATACTGCCTCTTTAAGGCCCATTTCCACTCAAGAAAAATTTCCATGGACAGAACATTTTGTAAAATGTGATTGGCCGACATAAATTTTCCGTTGGAAAAAAATTTTGAAAATGATTTTTTTTTAAACGGTACGTATAATGGATGAAATTATAAGTTATAAGATGTGCGCAGTAAAAGTGCGCAATGCAAAACTGCGGAATTACCTTAAATCGAATTTCCTGCATTCTGCCGGAGAACATTTGACTCGCAAAATCCTCTACGGTAAAAAACCTAATGAATTAAGAATTAAAAATGTATTAATTTAATGAATGTCGGTGCATGTTTAATGATATTATAACTTTACGATCGTATATTACGAGTCTGTAAAGAATTATACACTATTCACTACTGTACTGTGGTCTGTATTAAACTTGTCATTTCAAATTGAGTGACATTTGGAAAAGTGTAATTTCTGAAACATTAGTTGATGCATGGTTATAGTCAATATATAGAAAAAGCTGTCTTTAAGGTCTATACTTTTATATTATTCATTTCTACATGAGTCAAACTCTAAATGTCTTTTCTGCCAATTTTATCTGATATCTAATGCAGGTTTGCGCATCTTGGTCATGTAGACAGGCTGACGGCCAAGCCTCGAGCTATATACAAATACTGTACAGCTCACATTTAGTATGGGAAGACAAATTTGCGTGCTTTTATAACGCAGCACTTCAGTTTTATTATGTAGTCTTCGTTGTTCTTGTTGGGTTTACTGGCGTTTGTTGGCTTGGATATGCATTTCAAGAATACAATGACAATGTTGGTGAAACTACCAGGAGGGGTTTAGCTACGTCAGCCAAATTCCAGCAATTAGTATAGCGCAAATTAAGCTCAGTCAAGTAAGTTTTAATAGTATATCGGATCACCGTTTTTAATACGTCCATAAATTAATATGCCCAAAACGTTTCAATAAATGCGTTATATCAAATGTTTAACAAACAGTGTACTCACATATACTCGGAACTATAGTTGTCTCCTCAACCTTTAATTGCCCAGTATTGATCTGCCCTACAGTACTACAGTAGCTAAATTTTCTATGGTATAACAGCGCAACCGCATGGTGCAAATATTGTACGGAGACAGAGTCGAAGTGATAATACTGTGATGGACTGTATATATAAGAAATCGAGTTTTGAAATCGATTAAATTTATATATAGTCGTACATGATTTTGTCATCAACTTATTTGAATGACGAATTATTATTGAATTAAGAAGACTCGTAATAGACAACAGTGGAACATATTTCATTTCCACACCGGGCGAGCTTGAAAAATACGCCCGGCCACGGTGGGATTCGAACCTACGACCTTTGGAATACCAGCCCAATGCTCTTCCAACTGAGCTACGCGGTCAGGACGGTTCGAGTAAGTGATATTTCGGAACAGTATCTAGTTCCTTCAATACCAATGTGTTCTAGTAATATGAATTTTTTTTTCTGTGTTGGTGTTGTGTACTCAGGTGAATAATATGTTTGCAATGTTACTCTGAGTGCATATCCACACCGGACGAGCTTGAAAAATACGCCCGGCCACGGTGGGATTCGAACCTACGACCTTTGGAATACCAGACCAATGCTCTTCCAACTGAGCTACGCGGTCAGGACGGTTCGAGTAAGTGATATTTCGGAACAGTATCTAGTTCCTTCAATACCAATGTGTTCTAGTACTGAGCTGGTATTCCAAAGGTCGTAGGTTCGAATCCCACCGTGGCCGGGCGTATTTTTCAAGCTCGCCCGGTGTGGATATGCACTCAGAGTAACATTGCAAACATATTATTCACCTGAGTGCACAACACCAACACAGAAAAAAAAAATCATATTACTAGAACACATTGGTATTGAAGGAACTAGATACTGTTCCGAAATATCACTTACTCGAACCGTCCTGACCACGTAGCTCAGTTGGAAGAGCATTGGGCTGGTATTCCAAAGGTCGTAGGTTCGAATCCCACCTTGGCCGGGCGTATTTTTCAAGCTCGCCCGGTGTGGATATGCACTCAGAGTAACATTGCAAACATATTATTCACCTGAGTACACAACACCAACACAGAAAAAAAAAATAAAAAATTCATATTTCATTTCTTGGCATTCATAATGTACACTATATAGATTATTACGATCACACATTCGACCAAGAAATGCTTAAATATACTACTATAATTTATACGCAAATACGCGATTTTGTTAATGGATGTATGACGAGGTTCATCAGTTCATGCGATTTGTTGCCTTGTTTGCGAGTCTGCCCTGTGTTAAAATGCGGCATGTCTGGTCGGAAGACTAAATTCAGTAACGAAAATCAAGTATATATAATAACTTTGCGAAGTTATAAAATACTTGTGATTCCCTGTTACTAATCATTCTTTCGGAGGGGCTTCGCTCGCCTGGACTATGCATACATATCATACATACTTTTATCCCTGTTTCACTACCCCGGATCTGGGGGTCCTCCCTGAAATTTTTTGGTATATTTCATGCTCAATGACTGCATTTCTGGCATTGTCTGGGGCATACACAAAACGTATTTTAAGGCTACTTTCGTTAACTTTGTAACCTCACATTTGTGGTTTAACACTGCACAAATGGTTTATGGCTGCCTATTTCCCACCCCTCCCAAATTTTTCATTGAAGTTGAACGATCTAAAAGTACACTCTGGAAAACATTGGCGATCCCCCCCCCCCCCCCACCCC